CTGTGCCAGGCCCTGGGGAGCTGTGCTGTGCCCTAGGAGCTGTGCCATGACCTGGAGAGCTGTGCCATGACCTAGGGGCTGTGCCATGACCTGGGGAGCTGTGCCATGCCCTAGGAGCTGTGCCATGCTTAGAGGAGCTGTGCCATGCCCTATGGGCTGTGCCATGTCCTGGGGAGCTGTGCTGTGCCCTAGGGAGCTGTGCCATGCCCTAGGAGCTGTGCCATGACCTGGGGAGCTGTGCCATGCCCTAGGAGCTGTGCCATGCTTAGAGGAGCTGTGCCATGCCCTACGGGCTGTGCCATGTCCTGGGGAGCTGTGCCAGGCCCTGGGGAGCTGTGCCATGCCCTAGGGGCTGTGCCATGTCCTGGGAGCTTTCCCATGCCCTAGGAGCTCTGCTGTGCCCTGTGGAGCTGTGCCATGCCCTGATTCCTGCTCCTGTTCCACCCGTGCCCATTTCCCCAAGGTGATTTTGGTGAAGCTGAGCTGTGAGCTGCTGAGCCAGCAGTTGTGCACCCGTTGTGTTGGAGCAGATCTGTGCTGTGGAGCCATGGTGCTCAGTGGGTGCTGTGGCAGCCGGGGTGGCCTTCTGGGAAGTGTCCTTCTGGGTGCTGTGCTCAGTGCCTGCCACGTGCAGGGAGCTGTGATGTGAACATCAGTTTACGAGGAGCTGGACTCATTTCCCAGCACAGTTTGTGTGTGTGGACGCCAAATGCCGTGTTTAGGGCACCCGATTTTGACTGGGCCACATGTAAAGACTCAGCAGCCAGAATGTTAAAGGTTTCTTAGTCGTAAATGATTTCCTTCTTTACGGAGCAGCTCCCACCTTCTGCTCGGGTTCCTCCATCGCCAGGCGTCACAAAGCCGCTGACCTTCAGCGGCCAAAATGCTCCCAGGGACCAATTCATCACCTCCTGTCACTCCTGGGTGGCACTGAGCAGGAGGCACTGCTGGAATGATTCACGATTCGCTTTTTCTTTCCTTAATAGAGCAAAATGTTTGAAGGGTTTGGCTGGGTCAGCAGCGGACTGCAAGCATCCTCCTGGATCCCATCTCCTTCTGGGTGTGGGTTTGGTAATTCTTTGCAGCTCTCTGCAGCCTCTGTGCTCCTGTGGTGCATCTCCAGCAGAGCCAGCCTTCCTCCTCCCTTTGTGAGGAGGATCTGCCGGGGTGAGGTGCATGCTAATGCACCGCCGCTGGCTGCTCCTGCATTTGCTCGACTTATCAGACAGGTTGTCCAAATTCTGGAGGGCTGTGATCTTGCAGGATTAAAGGCGTAATTTTCAGAAATCCCCTTATCCTCTTTGTCGGCAGATAAAACTGCATTTTGTCTTTCCGATAGGGCTCTTTAAGATCTGATGAAGCAAACCCGGCAATATAAAACCCTTTTAGCTGTCAGGGCGGAGAGGCACCAATCCAACCACCGCTGTGGGTGTTTTACTGGCTGGGATGCGCAACGGAGCGCTTTAAAGAGCAAATCAATATCTGCGGTTATACGAGGGGAGACGAAAGCTCTTAATTAATTGTCTCCTGAGGGTTTGCAGTTCTGCTCCGTCTTCTCAGGACGCGTCGGTCGCAGTCAGGCAGAGGTGTTGGGACTTGAAGGGACGCGGCTCGGAGCGGCGCCGCTCGCCGCCCCATCGCGCTGCTGCAACCTGCTGAGCTGCCGCCGCTCCTGGCGGACGCTGGATCTGACCCGAGGGCTCCTCGGCTCCGGCTTTAAAATAGTGCTCTGTGCTAATTAGCCGAGCGCTGCTCTCTCGCCGCTGTCTGAGCAAAGGAATGCGAGTGGCTGCCGCTCCCCCATCGCTGCCTCTTCCCGAGCTGCCGCTAATTGGCTCCGGTTAGCAGGCGATTTCTCGTTTAGTTCTGCAGAGATGATCTAAGACCAGAAGTTTCTCAGCAGACTGAACAGTGAGCTAAATGAGCAGCGCCGGAGGAACGGAGAGGAATAGAAAGAGCCCTAGCAGTCAGCCCAAGTCTGCCTGATAGCCTGGCTCGGGGTCTGAGGGAATGAGGGTCCCGGGGGTCCTGGTCAACCTTTGTGCCTGGAGGAAGCCCCAGCAGGGAGGCACGGAGCTCTCTATGGGTGGAACTGCCTCGTGAATTTTGGGCAGAACCTGCAGCGGGGAGGGACCCAGGCGGTGCCCAAAGCATTTCTGAATTCGGGATCCGTTCCTCACGCAGCTCATGGACAGCCAAGGGAAATTCCCCTCCACCACCACCAAGATCTGCTGGAAACACGCAGCTGGGATGCAGCGTGGTGGAGAAGGACCCGGGCTCCTGGTGGGCACCATGCTGACCGAGAGCTGAGCGATGGGGGGAGGGGATCTGCTCCTGTTCACAGCCACCCCGGCAGCACTGAGCCCAAAGCTGGGCTCCCAGTACAGGAGAGTTGTGGACATACTGGAGAGAAGCCCACTGCAGTGCCATGAGGATGCTGCAGGGTGCGGAGCTGCTCTGCTGAGGGCTGGGGCTGCTGAGCCTGGAGCAGAGGGGCTGAGGGGATCCCATCCGTGTACACAAATACCCAAAGGGAGGCTCAGGGGATCCCATCTGTGTACACAAATACCCAAAGGGAGGCTCAGGGGATCCCATCTGTGTACACAAATACCCAAAGGGAGGCTCAGGGGGATCCCATCTGCACCCATCAATACTTGGAGGGAGGTGCCCAGTGGTGCCCAGGCAGAAATTACAACACAGGTTGCTCCTAACGAACATGAGGAAGCATTTCTGTGCTGTGCAGCTGGTGGAGCCTGGTGTGGGGACACAGAGAGGTATGAGATCTTCCTCCTTGGGGATCTCCAGAGCCACCTGGATGTGGGGCTGGGCACAGCTCTGCGTGTCCCCATTGCGGCAGAGGTTAAAGCATGTGGACACGGAGTTCCCTGCCAGCCTCAAACACTCTGTGGCTGAAGGATGAATCTTATCACCATCTAGAAATATGATGCCTTTCAGTGGATGGCCTCATTCCCAGGCTTCGAGGTCCCGTCTGTGTGCTGATGTCTGGCTGGGGAAGTCTTTCATCCTTTCTTTGGCAGCTCTGGGTACTGCAGAAGGTCTCAGAAATAGCCAAAACCCTCCAAACCTTTCCAGCTCCTTCAAGGACAGCTGAGCCCTGGAGGGGAGCTGTGCTCAGTGATCCACATGGATCGCTTCTGACTTGGGCTGTTCTGTGGCTCTGTGAAGGGCCTTAAGCCACCCCAGAATGGAGATAACAGCCTCCCTGTGTTCCTTTAGCACTGATGTGATACAGCGCAGCGCTCACTGCCTCCAAACATCCTTCATTTCTGCCCATGAGAAGGAGCAACTGTTAGGAAATCACCTCCAGAATGTGCTGTGACCAAATCAGTGCCCCATCCGTGGGTGTGCTTTTGGTGCACGAAATCCAGCAGACGTCATCGCTGTTTGAAGTTGGCTTCTGTCTCTGGGAAAATAGGCAGTGAATGAAATCAAAGAAGCCCGAGGTGACGGGCTGTGGTTCCTTGTGCAGTTCCCAGCTAAACATACCCTGCCCAGCTTGGAGTGCAGGGCTCGGTTCCCTGCCTGTTCCTCCTCTGGATGTTGGATGCTCCCCTGTGTGCTGGTGGCCATTCC